CGGGCATTAATAAACACGCTATCTTACGAGATCGAATAACTCACCTGACCGATTTTCCTACTAAATCCAGCGAGATCGTGCCGGCACATACACAGATACGCGTATCCTGAATGTACTATAGATCCTTCGAACATGTTCCTCTATATCTAGCTTTTACTGCTAGGCAGGCTATGTACACGAAGACAGCTACCGTTGATTAGGATTTAGGATCGTCCGACCGTTTCTTCTTGTACCCTGGATCGCATTGCGATTGAAAATTGGTTTCAAGCAGACCGTTCTGCTTGTTTCGTATATTGCGGAGAGGTTTTTCGTGTTTTTAGTTGAGCAGACGGTTTTTGTGACGATGGAAGAAAGTGTTTGGGATTTTTGTGTGGTTTGGTATTATTTAATTAATTAATCAGAGTTTTCGAGCTTTTGGGAAATGCTTATCGAAGGTGTTTTTGGATTAATTGGATATTAGTGGTAATTTGTAGTGAGTGATATTGTTGGTAATATGGGTTATTTGTGTAATAAATATTAATAATAAGATTATTAATATTAATACGTAATTATAGTTATAGTAGTTAGTAATATTAGGATGTTAGTGTTATAAATATTAATATTGCAATTATTAATATTGATAAGTAATAACTGATGTTATTAATGACATTGTAATATTACTGTTTAATTAATGCGAAAATATTTCAGAGAAGCTTTTTTTTCTCGAGAATTCAGAAATAAGAGTAAAACCACCATATAATAAGTCAATCATACAATACTTGTCTGAAGTATTATTAACAATTTTGCGTTTCAATCGAAGCGACTAATTTTCAATCTTCAGAAGCTGTCGCTCCATATGGAAACAATGGATTATCTGTCTTTTCCCTCTACGCTCATATCATAACACAGGATTACCATAATTATCATATTATGACCAGCGAAAGAGGTACTGATAACAATCCACTGTTTTCATATAGTGTGATAGCTTTTGAAACAAGAAAATCAGTCGGTTCAACCGGAATTAAAAATTCTTTATAACTTTGAAAATATCAATTTCTCGACACAAATTGTTGATCGATTTTGATAAAAGTATATACATGTAAGGACACTTTTTAATTATTATTTAGAAAATTAATTATAGAAAATGTACGGTTATAGTTGACGACGTTATATTGATTAGTTATGATATTATCTATGCTTTATTAATTATGTATTATAATACTTGCATGATTAAACATATGAAATTTAAAAAATGTATTTTTATAGTCTACTTTGAGAATAATAGTGAGGATAATATGCTAGATTCAGAGGCAGAGTTGATAAAAATGATTTATTAAAATGGTCATGTATTTGAATAAATAAGTACTTAGAAAGCATGCAATATTCAACCAATGCATGAATGTGCAATTAATGTGCTTTTAATAAATAATTTGTTATCAAAATGTTATCACACGTGCATTTAGAAATTAGCTTTTACACGAACAGTGATTTACATTAGAATGGACGTATACTGAAACTGATTCCGTTTTGTTTCGAGGAAATTCAAATAATTTAAATTATTTACAATGAGTTTTGTCCATATTTAAATTGAAGATGAAGAAATATTATCGTATATTGATATTTAATTAATCTATAACATTATAATTAATTTAAGTTGTTAACACTGATATAATACGAATACTTTAAGAAATTTGGAACTATTGTTCACTATACTAAACAATGTGTTAAAATGCAGCGATAATGAAATAACTTCCGTAGATCAATTTGAAAACGAAAATATAAATTTTGAGATGACGTCTTGCCACTTAACTAGTCAACGAAAACAAGAATTAAACCAAAGCTTGTTACATAAAAAATAATATTAAAATATACATTACATGATATATGTATGATATTAAATTATACCAAATTATATTAATAACATTAAACTACCCTAATTTGTAACAATTCTGATCCTACAAAATTTTATATATCCATTATTTGTATAAATGCATAAGGGTTTACAATCTAGCAATAAAAAAAATATAAATAATTTACAACTAAACCAATTTTCCTCGATATTATGCAAATTCAACCCCATTTTTTGTGTCACGCAATAAAAATGATAATACAAAATTACGCAAGATACTCTTGGAATGTAGGTAAACATTTATTCAACCGAGTGAACCTTAAAATAAAGGTACCAAACGGTCCGTGAATACTTGGATCGGTAGATTTTTGCCCGAAAATATATTTAAATCTCTCTAGAAATCCACACCGGTTCCATTTTGGAAAATGTTTCTCTAGCGACTCGAATTTCTGGTATATTGGAGTAAGCTTAATGTTTCCGGAGTTTAATTTCCAGGAAAATACGGCTGGGTTCTGGGAAACCTTGTATTGCTTAAAAGTTAATTAATTTTGATAATTATTAATTAGTTAGTTCAAAAACAATATTTGGCTAATGGAAAAGTAAAATGAATTTGTTATATTATTATATTATATTTGTTATTTGTTATTTGAAACTATTTTTCCCTGAATTTAATGAATTAAATATATTCTTGTTCGTAAAATACTGTTTTGTATTTATAAATATTGAATTTTTACTTATGATGAGTATAAATAATATTTCAAAAGAATACAGTGTGTCGTTTCAAAAATAAAATCACAAATATAATTATTATAAAAATTTTAAAATTTCTATTGAAATATCAAATGATTTTTAGTGTAGTATGAATGTAGTTATTATTCTTTAATATCTATAATTAATTAATCAAGGTTTTACATTATGAATCATAATATTTTCCTTTATTTTTGTTAATCTGCTAGCATAACATTTTCCGATAAGTTTAATAATTTAAATCCTTCTCAAAATTCAATTTGAATAAACATAAACTTCAAGTATTTACATCAATTGCGAAGATAGGTTGCTTCAAATTATTAGTATGAATTTTTCATATTACACATTAATATTCATAATGAAAAAATAATTTCATTAAAAAATTCTCAATATTCTATACATATTTCTATCATACTACGCAATTTTGTATAAGGAAGAGATCGTAAAAGTGTACTGAATTTAAAGTGTGTCGCAACGACACTGAGATCACGGTGGATTATTTATTAATACACTGATACCTTGCACATAAACACAGCTAACGTGACACAAGGTAAATTTACGAGATGCCTGGTAGTTAATTAGACAAGTACGGATGATGTGACTTTACACGTAAAAGCAAATCGAAATGACAGAATAAAATTCTAACTTGCATACGAAAATGAACTGGTTGAGGTGTCTGTTCATTACTCACTGTTTCTACTTCTAGTAAACGTTTATGGTAGCACGGTATTTCCTGTCTGTCGTCGGTTAAATTATCTGTCAATTATAATTTATATCAGTTTATCGTGAAGCGCCCTGTCATTTCTCATAAATGTCGACAGAAATAAGTAAGTAATAATGTAGACACTTGTTAAGTAAATGCAAATGTATGTAAAAAATTTTTCATGAGAAAGAAAGTGACTTGTACTGACTATAAGATAATTAAAAATAATTAAATAATTTTTTAATAATAATGAATAGTATCTAATTCATCAGTGATAATTACTATGTTATCTTGAAAAGGAAAATGCAAACAAATTTTATTTTTTTAAATAAACTTTCAGCAACTCAAAGGAAAATAAAACTTGTTTATGAATAGTAATGAAAAATATTCAATAGTTCAATGATATTTACATATTTTTCTTGAAAAGAAAATGATAATTATTTCCGATTAAAAACAAAGATTAATAATTATTAAAGAAACGCATAATGCACTGTTCATTGCAATGTCAGCTGAAGAAATTAATTTTATTTCCCATCGATGGATTTATAAGATTCAAGAATGAACACGGAAGGAATGCCTGCACGGGGAATTTGATAAATTAGAACGCAATCTCCATTTCAGGATTTAGCTTAATCGGATTTCAGATTGATTGCTACCTAATGCCTGCCCTTTCAGTACACTTAATTGCCATTTCCTTCGGCCAAATACGGCTTTATCAATAGTCATTTAAGTCGTCAATTAGGCTGAGCTCTCTCGTTTTATATTTTATATTTCTTTCGGTTATTTATAAAATTTATTAAATTGAATATAGAGTAATGAGAGGCTTACGATCTATAAGGGAGATAGAATTCTATATTGACGTTTAATAAATAAATAAAAAAATGCTTATTAAAACATACTACATTTTATTACTAAATTAATTAGACATTTTTCTTATCGAATATATTACAAGACGAAAAGGTTTTAATCATTTATTCATTTTATTTGTAAATTCGAATTCATTAAAAATTAGATTGACAGCTACGCTAATCTTTGTTAAATGCTTGATTTCATTACATTTTGTACGCTTGGACACTCTGTAATAAATGATCAAGTAATTGGAAATCATATGAACTAACAATTAGTATTATTTATTAATATATAATTACAGATTCCTTTGAAACTCGTTACATTTTAAATTACATCTGCGGCATATTAATCAACTTCTGAATACACCTTCCCCATCAACAAATAACCAAAATAACCAAAATTTTCACCACCAATTATCAATATATAATTTCCCCGTCTTTCGTTATCCATTATACTTTGAATTCGCCGCCGATGTTCACATTCGACACGAATCGCGTTCGTTCGGAGTTACATAAAAGACCGAACAAGAGAAATTCGATAATTGTGTACCATCGATTCGCGTACACCGGCAGACACTCGAACAAAGGCGGAATATTCCGAATGTAATGAAATTAACAGAACCATTATTATTTCGGACATTTTCTGTAGCGCCCCCCTCTCCCAATAGCGGAAATTTCCGAGTTAGTTTCGATAGTGAAAGAGCTCGCGCGGTATCCTCTCTCTCTCTCTCTCTCTCTCTCTCTCTCTTTCTTTCCAGTGGCCGCCATGAGTGCGAGGGAGTGAAATAGAATCACGTAAACTCTCTCAGCTCTCCATTGTGACGGGCGTACTTAAAAACTCATTAGCAGGGTCAAAGAAAAAATTTCAACTCACCGGTGGCGGTGGGGCAGTTGCAACACTGGCAGTAGTGTCCTCGGTGCGCGCGTAATTCTTGTCGACTCGGCGAAAAATCGAAATTACACCGCTAATTAGCCTGGACCAACGGGCTGGATGCAAGCGTTGGGAACTTTTTCCGCGTCGCTCTTGTTTCCAAGTCGCTTAAGTACTCGTATATCGTGGGTCACTCACTCGCGAACGGTTTATCCGAGAGAATGGGGACAGTTCACTTTCTTTCCGATGATTCTGATCGATACAGTGACTGCGTGTGTTGTTTACTGTTATAGGTTGCTAGAAAATTAATTGAAATGGTAATTTAACCCTGTGTCGTATGATTTGTTTCTTAACTATATTCGGTACAACTATTTTATAGTTAATAATTGATTAGGAAACAAAAATTCGGATGCTTATTCTGTGTCTACGTTTATATGAAACAATAACGATTGACGATAGAAAATTAATGTTCAATTCAGGCTTAAAAGAAAATAAGTAACACTTTTGTGAAATACAGTTTAAAATTTTCGTAACGAGTCTGACACGATATTGTAGGTCAAGGGGTTAATTGGGAAGTGCATATAGTGGATTTGTTTTTTTAATTAGTTTATGAAATTTAACGAATTGGTTTCTGAAGTTTCTAGTTTTTATCTTTAAAGTTACACTCTTCGACTGTAAACTTTTCATAATTCTCAACGTTGAGCCTGTAAATGTAAAGCTTTCAACGGTGAACCCTGAAATTTAGATATTCGAAATTGGTATTTAAACTGTGGTGGTAGATGTAAGTGAATGTTGAGCTTTGAATTTGGTTGTTAAAATTGATCGCACTAACTACTATAGTCAGCTCTGAACCTAAAACATATAATTCTCATTTTGAAACCTTTAAAATTGTATCTCAAAAATTAAACCTAGAATTGAACTTTCAAAGCTTAGGTTTCAAACTAAGTTTTCCACACGACTGAAAATTATTACTAATTACGTAAACCGAATCTTCGATAGAGGATCACCAATACTAAATCTCGAGAACTCTCGCATCTAGCACGTTGAATGAATCAAAACCTACAGAAGTCCTTCAAAATCTCACAAATTCGAACGAAAATTATATTCTCCAATAAAACATCGTACATATAAATGTTCGAATTCAGACGAAATTTGTGTCAACTGTGCACTAACGCGACAGTCAACACGTTGAAGCTACAAAAGATGATGCCTTGACCCTAAAGACCAACGTTCCATGGTACTCGTGCCTCAGAGTTGAACAAACAATGTCAGCTTCACATACGAACAACCAACGCGAGCGCATTATTATTCTCAGTGGAAGAAACGTTCACGTCCGTTTAAATGGATCGCTCAAAAACGGCCGCCTTATCGCGCGGCCAGATAACTTGTACACAAGGAACGAATGTCAATCACGATAATTCATAACTGGCGCGTACGGGAATTGCACGCTTCCGTGTGCGGCTCACCTTCGACGGTTCCGCAGACGGCAACGTCACGGAAGTGATTCCCTCATTTTCCACGGCGTGCACGGCCGATCGAGCCGATCGAATATTCAACAAATTCCATTTCCAACGAGGCGACCAGCCGCGGCGACGCGAGAACTTTACGGGAAACGTGCTCCGGTTCGTTGAGATACTCCAAACATTGTCGCGTGCAAAATGATGGATTTTTTCTTCCTTTTGGCAACAGTGTAGCCTGAATTTTAATACGATGGATATCTTTATTGATTTTTGTTTTTTAAGTGATTCCACTGAATTTTATTGTTGAGATTGAGAAGATTACTGTGTGTTTGTTGATGAAATGAGATATATTTATGTCGTTCTTATTAGTGTTTCATTAATGAATTTGAGAATTTGTAGTGGGGCGTGTATTTTATCTGCGAATAACATTCATTTAGAAAAAGTAATAGTGAGTCTATTAATTTTCATGCGACAATTGAATATCTGAACTCACTGAATGTTAGATATTTCTTTCGCATCGTCAATTATTTAATTATTCTTTAGCGAAATACTAATTATCGAGTACTTAATAATCTTCGATTTCTATCCTACAATCCTACAAATTTCTCTATGAATGTTCGATTAATCTTGGAAACTAATTTAACGAAATCTAAATAGTTGCGTATTGATAATCATCTAACATACCACTAAAACAAAACATGCATAAATCACGAAACAAAATTTGCATTTTGATCTCCAAAATAAAAGATTATTTCAATATCTCGTCCCACTTAAAACCACCATTAACTATTCATCTATTTCCTCATCCCAAATAAAAACACAAAAAATACATCAAACTCCAAACAAACCACTAAACTGAAACATACCATCACAAATCAAACCAAAAATTGCATTCCGATAATCTAAATAAAAAACTGATCACAACACCACTCCTTGAAACCACCCTTACTATCATTTACCCATCTCCTCATCCCAAATAAAAATACCACTCCTTGAAACCACC